GGTTTGAAATGAAGCTTTGGAGGATTTTCTTCTTGACATCCAGCTGAAGCAAGACAGCATCAACAGAACTAGACATGACCGACCGTATGTAAAGAGATGCAGATGTTAAATCTGGGCTTTAACCTGAAAACGTTCTGTGTCAGATAGAAAACGTTTGTTCAGCTGATTTTGCTTGAATGTTTGAATCTCCATGTTTTGAACCCAGGCGGAGGCAGAAGTGGCTTCCCTGAACAGACGCATCCAGCTGGTGGAGGAGGAGTTGGACCGGGCTCAGGAGAGACTGGCAACAGCTCTGCAGAAACTGGAGGAAGCTGAGAAGGCGGCCGATGAGAGCGAGAGGTGACGTCTAACCAGGATTTTTATAGACGTTTTAATCCCTTTTGTTATGGATGGAAACCAGTCCTTCCATGTGGAACAGAGTCAGGCTGGGACATAGAAAACCATATCAGATGCAGTCAGTAGTGATGTTATTTTATACATCAAAGATCAGTTTGGTTTCTTTTTAAAACTCTGCTTCATCAGGTTTTATTGAGTAAATAAAAAAACGACTGAAAGAAAAACCTGCCGTATTCATCCAGGATAGTAAATTATATTTTATGCAAAGTTAAATTGTAGCTTCATGTAACACTTGCAGAAAACATATATTAGAATGTGAGTGAGGTTATTAGGAGGCCTATAATGATGCCTTGTTGCTGCTTTTGAAATTGCCAAGGTGGACTAGTGCAAGTGAGATGTTTTTCACTGAAGAATCTTTACCTTACATTCTACTTTACAAAAGTTAATGTATAATATTATCTGTAGGATAAATGCATCTGGCAATGAAATTATTTTGTTATTTACTGACACCACAATAAGTGCAAGCCGATACCAGTCTAAGCTGTGGAGACACTGGTATGCCTGTCTCCTTAAAGCTCCTATTTGTACTTGTGGTTTTTTCTTTTGTTTATATATTAGACCATGAGTCCAAAAAAAAGGCTGTCTGTCTATCTACACTACAAAAAAACGATCTAGAAATATGTCAACACGGTTTATTTAGCCTTAGTTTGAGTAGGTACATAAAACGATTTCCCAATGGAATTAATACTTTTACTCTTAAATTAATATAATTAGACCATATTCACTTGAAATAAGAAAATGCAATTATTCTTTTCTTATT